CTGGAAGGAGGAATGAGCTGCATAGCTGTAAGAAACCATCTTCCAGGGAGGGTGCATTTGCCAAGGCGTGGGAGTAAGTTACCTGCCTACCGTGCTGGTTAGGAATTGTGCGGCTCAAAAAAAAACTTGATGAGAAAACCACTTCATAATAGGAAAACTAACTAAATTCCAGTTTAATTTTAGTTCATTCTAATTACTCTGAAGTGTGGCTGTTTTGTTACTTAAATAGAAATAAAATTCTGAATTTGTTCAAAATACCAGCTGCAATTTATTGCTAGCTGAACAAATGAACACTTGTTAACAGATACAACCAATTACTGAATTCCATACACTTCTTTCAAATTTTGAAAAAAAACTGATTTTTGTTTTGGAGGTCCAGTCTATGTAAAGTTTACATCTCTTTTCCTGAACAGGTCTCAAATTTGATTTGTGACCTATGTATGTATCAATATAGTATTTATGACCTTCCTTAAATTTACATTAGTTAGTCAAACTAAATTGCACAGTAGTCTCTTGTGGAGAAATCTAGTTTGATTTTATTTCCTTTCAGTTGTTTTCTCCGTGTAATGAATTCCGGAAATGTCCTTACTGCGACTGGTTGCTGTTTTGCGACCCCACCACAAGAAAATTCCGCTAATGTTTTCCCTTTGTCCAAAAGGTGGTTATTTATAGTGGACTATAGATCCATGATTGCTGGCAGCATTTTATTACCTCTTCTAAATAGCCAGTCTTTTTAAAAATAGAGTCTGAACTGTAACCATCAGAGGCCCATTTGCCCATCTCTGTGTGATAGCTGAGCTTGATTTTTCTTTTAATCCGATATCTATGCTCTAAGCTTTTCCAAAGCAGCAATCCTGAATGGGGAGCCTGCCTGGTTTAGGAATAATAAAGCTAACTGTACTCCCTCAACAGCACAAGTTAAGAATCAAAACAGGTGTGCTGCTGCTGATCAGTAGATCCCATGATGCATTTACCCAATGAGCCCTTGTGATTTTGCTGTTTTCTTTTAATGTGTTTTACTTTACCAAATAATTCCTGTTTAACTTTTATTTAAATGATTGTTGATTCACGTCGCATTCAGCAGGAAATGAACCAAGCCAAATCTCTCTATTCTATTGTTGAATGTAGGGTATTGCTACCAATATGGGTCAGATTTGCAGAACATGATGGGAGTTGAATAAGGAATGTCTGGTATCTTGGTGAAGGAGCTCTAGCTGCATTGAACATTGATCAGGTCACCAAGACTGAAGAATTGAAGGTTCAGGGTAGTGACAACATGGAACTAATTGCCTGAGAAGGACAAAAGCTATTGAGGTGTTTACAAGGAAACTGCAAACCTACCTAGGAAGTAAAGTAATTAGAAGGAAAGGGAAGGGATGAGGGTTATGAACATGAGTTCCTGAGTTAAACAAAAATGGCAAAGTAGGCTGGTGGGCCAAATTGCCTGTTTTCGTACTATGCCTAGAATGAGGTCAGCTGAACCACTGCCTGTGGGGAAGAAAATTGGAAAATTACTTTTCTTCTTTCAAGCTCTAACAAAAGCCCTGGCTTCTTCTATTCTCTCAAATATTTAGGTGAGTGCTTCAATGGCTGGCTGGAACCTTTGTTGGGAAGAATAGCTGAAAATTACACAGCTGTGGTAAGCCCTGACATCACTACCATTGACCTCAATACCTTTGAGGTATCCAAACCTGTCCAGTATGGAAGGCAGCACAATCGAGGTAACTTTGACTGGAGTTTGTCATTTGGCTGGGAGGCCATTCCATCTCATGAGATAGAAAGAAGAAAAGATGAAACCTACCCAATCAAGTGAGTGCCTTGTGTATTTGGTGATTTTGGTAAATTTATGCTCAGTAACGCTGGCTGAGAAATGGAATGGGATAACCAAGGACTGACTACCTAAGGGAAGACACTCTAGTATTAGTTATAGCACACCAGCAGCATGGTGAATTAGTAAGATTGACCCAATTGTTTGCACTGCCACCCTGGCAATCTCAAGCCTAAAGAATTGCTTGAGTGCCAAATTGATGGGATAATTTTACTCTGTAAACTGGGTTGAGGTTGTCCAACCCCTTTTCACGTAGGACTTTTGCAATTGTGAAGCCAAATTCACAATGTGATTTGTGGATTGGTACATGAACAATGATTATCGATACTTTAATATATCTATATAAAATATTGAGAATGTTCATGTGTGGGAATGTCTGTTAGAGACACAAGTTAGCTTAGTTGAGTCAATGCCTGATTGTTTCACCCAATGTCAAAACAATATCTTCTCCCTAATTAGCCAGGATGAAGTTATGTTTAAAGATTTGTTTTTAGACAACTCAAATAGCATCAGGTTTTTATGATTGACCAGATCAGTGGGTTTCTTCTTGCATTAACTCTTACTGCCACAGATGCTGCTGGGTCCTTGTAGCTATAATCCTAACTGTTAAATGTGGCAGAAGAACATGGTATAATAATATTCTTAAGTTTTGAAAGTTCCTTATGTAGTGTTGTCCTGTCATTCTATGCTTTTTTTAATTTCTAAAGCATGGGCCAATGCTGATGCTGTTCTGTCTCCTTCCAATACTGTCAAGGGTACTGGCAGATCCCACTTGGGGCTTATCCAGTAAACATAGTCTGGCAAACAGCAAATTAATTTTGAACGTCCTATTTAACTGCAGACTTGAGACTAAGATAACATTTTACATCAATCACTATCCATTCTTCAATAACAATTCATTTACAGAATCACATTTGCAGATATATCATGTGTGTTTAGGGACTCTTTCTTCTTCCCCTCGCTCCCTAACAAATGTAACAGCTAGTCGAGGCAGTCAGTAGCTGAGCATGGGAGATCAGAAATTCTTGCCTTCAATCTCTGGTCTTTACTCAATTTGTTGAACTCGGGCAGGATGGTAACAGGTGCCTGGGCTGTTGGGGGCAAGAAAGGAAGGGATTACCTATTACTTGAAGTAAAAATGTGTCAAATTTATATCTCCCATGGTGGGATAGGCTGTCAGTATTGTGTTTCAACAGGTGCATAAAAGCTGGTTATTGTGGTAGGGTGGAGGCGTACCTAGCCACATCTAACCATAGCCCAGGCCTTCTAAAGATCCAAATAGGAGAATTTAGCAAAGAATTAAGAGAAGAAAGGTCATAAATATTCCTAATCTTTTGTTTCCAGATAATTTACAGTACAATATGGCAGCTAGAGTACCCAAGATTTTGACAGCTATATTGGATTTGTCATTGAAACGCCTGATGTTAAACTTCTGTGTGGGTTTTTTACCGTTTGTAACAAAATATATGGAGTATTGACACTTCTTCCCCACCCATAGGTTACAGACTATAATTATCAGAATCATTGCTGTACTGAAGAAGTGCAGCTGTGACGTTGCTAGGGTAAAATTACACCCTTGTACAGTCTCTTGCTCCTATTAAATATTGTAATTATATATTTTTGTGCATATCCTATCTTTTCTCTTGGCTATGAGACAACCGTCTTTATTGGAACTGTATGTAACACAAAAAGGACACCTTCTCCGTCATGGTGGATTATTTAGTTTGATTATTAGAACAGTAGAAGTGCAAGCACAAAAGCAGAAGCTACGTGGTTTTGGAGTGGCATATGCAGAAAGGTCACTGGACTGGCCAAAAGGACACATAATATGAACATTGAGAAGGTATAACCAACAAGCAGAAATTCTGTTATCACTGGAAGATTGCAGTACGCAGAGAAAGCATGTGACATAATTGATGGAGTGGATCTGAATCACAAACTTGACTGTTAGATGGTGCAAGAATGTGTTGATAGATCTTAATGGGGGATAAAATGATCAGACAACAGCTGGAGCAGCTGACAGAGCCATAAACAAACCAGTGACACCTTGTGACATCTATGACCAGCTTAGATAATGATGACTGTCCAATTGACTGGAAGCGTCAATATTCCATCTGCGCATAATCTGCTTGTGTTATGAGACAGAGGGTACACTTCCATTCCTGTCATTTCCCAGATCTGTTAAGTCCAAGCAACACCAAGATTGTACTTGGTGTTTCTTGCCCTAAATTTTTGCTTTCAGGGATAATTCTTCTTTATTAGTTAATTGAAGGTTTTCACTGAGAGTCTGAATTTCTGACTTAAAATGCACCGTGGAAATTATGCAATAACTGCAGGTGCTATTACTTTGTGAAAGTGCCAGGAGTTAATGGAGGAGGTGAAATATGCCGTGAGTTGCTCTGTACCATAACTCGATGGGATATTTGCATCATTCCTCTCTCAATAAGCTGCTATAAGTTTCTTATTGCTCTGCACATCAGGGCAGTCAATGGCAATTGCCAGTTTTGTGATGCAACTGACTGATGCCATTATTTTTCAATGTCCTGATAAAGGTTTACGGCCCTTAGTCTGAAGCCAACAGAGGACCTATTTAAGCTTTGGAGTTTCACCCCAGCAGCCTGAAAATTGTTCTTTATTTCTTTTTCTAATTTTCTTAAATGTGCATTGTTTCTTGCCAGTTTTGCCTTTCAGAGGGTCCTTTTGGTGTCTCATCATCATCATCATCATCATCATTTTGTGTTCTGCCTTGAGGCAGGTCCTTGGCTTATTGTCTGCTGATGCTTTATTGTAAACTGTTTCATGGTAACCTTTGACAGTGCTGGTTTGCTACTGCCTTACACTTGTTAGTGTTTAAAGGTAAGTAATTGCAGAACCCCTCCACCTGTTTGCATTAGGCCATTGCAGTGCTTTCTCCTTCCTTTCTACTGAGCCTTCATTGGTGAACTGGAGGTGAATTGGATATGATATTTGAGGCACTATCACCTGAACCATTTTTACCACTCCACTTTTTTTTTGCCCCCATCATGCTTCCACCACAGTGTACTCTGAACAAATCCCTTGCAGGCACTTTTTGAAGTTGTTGCGTGTGTACAAACTATGTTTTGCCAGGGCAGCAATTCCTAAAACTAAAGTCCATTTCCCATAGGAGCTTGTTAATGATAATGAAGGTGACAACCCCCGTGTTCAATACCTATGGGTCCAACTCCTACCAGTCTGACACTGGAGAGCTTTAACAAAAGCCAAGCTTTTGCATTCAACAGGTGACAGATATCCTCTTCTACATGGCATCCAACTTCGTTCAATCCAATCTTTCCCCTGCACAGCAAAGAGATTCATTGATCAGTTTCCACAGGATTGCTGGCTTCTTCAGAATGCACGGCCAATTAATGGAACCAACTTGCTGTGTACTAAACATATAGTCATCACACTGTTTGCCTGTATACATTGTATTATTATTTAATGCGTCGGTGATGCCAGTCGTAAATATCAGTATTGTGTCTATCTATTTTATAAGATGTTTGATTTGGGCAGAGTTTTTTTATTCCTCTGCCTTGCCTGTTTCTCCCTTCAATGGGAAGGGTTAACGTGCATTAAATGCGCTAAATTTCTGCAATGTGCAACTTTAGGATCCGAGCATTCAAGAACTATTTGAGACACCTTTTGTCGTTTATCATTCCACTATGAATTATTTAGCAATAGGGGCTAGGTGGATGAATGCTGGGGAGAAAAAATGTTTTGTGATCTTTTTAAATTTTCCTCAACATTTCTGGAAAAAGGAAAGAGCCCACAAAAGACATTTTAAAACGTTATAAAAAGAAAGGCTGCAAGAAGTAATTTTTTAAAAATTGCTTTCAGAAGTTAGATTGTTTATATCCCATCACCTCTCCTCTCAATATGAGCTAATATCTGCTCATTTTTTTAATATATAGTTCTGTGGTTGATCTGCAAAGTAAGTCATTAACTGCAGCATGGAGTTCCCTGATTTGTCATTGACCTTGTCACAGTGTAGGTTGATCGTTAAGCAAATTACAGCATAAGTATAATGTGACGTAAACGGCAAACACAAATGTTTGCTAGCAGTATGAGTTGTCATATGCTGTAGCAAATCCAGGTCCAATATTATTTCTTTTACATTTAAGGGAAGCTAAAAGTTTTTTTTTGTTGACTCGATTAAAGAACTGCAGTCATTTTGTGTTTAGAAATGCAGATGGCTGGTGATTATAGCAATTAGTGGTCATTAGATCTAAGCTTTTGAATCTAAAGTCCAGTCAACTCCCACATTGCATGTGTCAAGAGTCCAGTTTTGAATCAGAAGAGTCCAAGAAACCTGTTGGCCAACTGGTCTACCCCAGACATGTATAATTTCTTAAAGTCATTCATGATATGACTCATCAAACAGCAATACTGTGCCTATCTTTTTGAGATTGTTTTGATGGGCTGTTTGATTTGGACATTGTTTTGATCTCCTCTGATATATGATTGGTATGTCAGTCTGCTTTTAGAGATCTGGCTGGATCTAATGTGGGTAGAACAGTTCGTAGAATTCTGAAACCAAACCCAGAAGTGATACTCAGATTCCAATGGGTACTAATGCATCACTTTTGTCTATAGGTGAAGATTATATTAAATAGGATTGGAAATATCAGGCTGATGCAATAATGGGTTGCAATGTCTGATACTAGAGGTGAAGTGCACAGATTTAGAGAACTCCAATCCGTACCTGACTCTTGAGTGCTTAAGAATGCCACTGCGTGCAAAGAGGAACAGGATTATTTTCACTTTGAGATAAAAGTACAAATTTACAGCCAAATCTAGTTTAATTGAATAAATGTTGAGAAGTGTGGCTTTTTCATTCAAAAATATAATGCTGCCAGAATCCGAAATGTTCAAGAATGGGGTCAGCCTGCTTTTATTTAGCACAAGCAAAATAGGTGTATTAAAACATGATGTCCATGAGATTTGAATTGCTTAACAAATATGATAAATTTTATATGATTATGATATAGGCTGAGCATTGTTATTCTCATCATTACATCTGTTTTATGCTCTCACCATGTTTCTCTCCATGTTGAAGAGCTCCATTCTATCATTTGACTCCAGAAGAACTGAAAAATTAATTTCCTAAGAAGTGGATATTCCTGCAAAACCCTGTAACTGCTTCAGGAATCAGCTCATGGGAAAGCATTAAGTAATGAGCACTTGCCTTGAACTGTCAATGTCACTACTTCGTGGGATATGGCAGAGAATATAGATGTTTAAGATCTCCCTATCTTACTTTCATGCCGCTTATGTCAGTGTGCTGCCAAGTTTATGTTACTTATGGTAACGTACGACTACTTTCATGTAACTGAGAACAGGAAAGAAGTGTATTGTACTATAGGGATTCCAAGAACATGACCATGTCTGTTGTGGAAACAATATGACTCCTCTCACTGCAGTGGTTCATAGTCAAGGTCTATCACCACTTTTTCAACAACTGTGAATGGGAAATAAATGGGGTCTTGCTGTTAGTACCGATGTCTTGAGAACAAATGACAGAAAATCTATTAGCACAAGCAAAATAGACATGTATTAAAACGTGATGTCCATGAGTTTTGAATTGCTTAATAAATATGATAAATTTTACTTCATTTGAAAGAAGTTTATCAACTGTTTGAAAGCAATGCAAATATTGTGGGTCTTCTCTCTCTCTCTCTCTCTGTCTCTCTCTCTGGAGACAATTTCTCACTGATCATGTGGGTGAGCTTCAATTTGGCACGAAATTAAACTATGCAATTTGTCTCCGGCCAATACAGTTGATATTTAGTTTATTTTCAGGACTCCTACGTTTGCTGGTGGCCTCTTTGCGATCTCCAAAGCTTACTTTGAGCTGATTGGAACATACGACAACCAGATGGAAATATGGGGAGGAGAGAATGTGGAAATGTCATTCAGGGTAAACGCAAATGCTTATGTTTATAATGCTCACCCCTTGGTTGTGACTGTTGAGATTTAAGTATGAGTGAGTTCCTCTGGCTGATGTGCAAAGGTACTGTCTGTTGTAAGGGAGGGGGTGGGGGGTGGTGGGGAGAGAACAAAAACACATCCGGACGCCGTTCCTGCTGTTGACCACTATCCTGTGAACTCTGCTGGAAAGTGTGTGGATGCTTGAGAGCAGAATCCGATGTGGCTTTGATGCCCACAGGACAAAACCCAAGCTAGCGCACAAAGAATGGCTCTCCTCATCATTAGTATTTGTCATTTGCAAAAAACTTCGAAGTATTTTTGTTTTGTCAGGTTTAATGTTTTGGAACCTTTTGCTTTAAGAACATTTGCTTTATACTTGCAAATTATTGAGGGGAAATTATTGAATAATCTTGATATTACTATTAAGCAGCTGACAGAAGTTCTTTCGACCTCTTTTTAGTAAGTCTCACTGACCATTTCAGCATTTGGGTTTCGGAGCGAGGCAGCCCAAACCCATTTTAGTTTGTTTCTCGGTGACAACTATAATCAACCTGGAATGGATTCAAGCCCACCATTTCCATATCTGGAAAACTAGTCAACTAAAGGTTGTCATAACCAATTTAAATGGCACTTTTGGAGGCTTCCATGTGTTGAGGAATTGCTCAGCAGAAAATTGAATTTCCCAGGCTACGCCTTTGGAGTCTGTTATGATGAGGATTCTGCAGGGTCCTCATGCGCAACTCCTATCTCTGCTGGAATAATGATTGTCTGGCCAGTGGAAAATTCAGGCCAATATTTTTTTTTAAACTAGTGTATTCCATATGCCTTCAGTGTCTGTCATGAATGCAGATCAGCCAAAAATTGACAGGCATCAGCTGTGACTCAGTAGTAACACCCAATTCATGAGCTTCTTGGTTCAAGCTACACTTCAGGACTTGAGCTCGTAATGCAGGTTGGCACTCCAGTGCAGTACTGATTTAGTGCTGCACTGTAAATGCCACCTTTCTATTGAGACACTGTACACCCACTTGGGTGGACATAAAAGATCCCACAGCATTATTTGAAAACAAGCAGCTCAATTCCCTGGTGTCCAAGCTAACATTTATCCCTCAACCAAAACCTAAATCAAGTGATAGCGGTCATCTAATCTTGCCATTTATTTCATTGCTGCTTACGGAGGATTGCTGTGCGCAAATTGACTGTTCTGTTGTTTACATTATAACAGTGATTACATTTCAGAGCTACTTAATTGGTTGTAAAGCACTTTGAGAGGTTTGAAAATTGTGAAAGGTGCTTTGTAAATGCCTGTCATACGAAAATGAAATTATTACTAATATTTTTAAGAGCAAGTCTCCTGTCATCTTGGCAGATCAGACAGGATGGCTTGTTGGCAGAATACTGTCATTTTATATGCAGCCTCCTATTCTCTCCAGCCTCCTTCACTCCTTCATGCCCCCATTTCAGCCATCTAAGCTCCACACTTTGGGAAGCCCTCTTAAAGTGACCTATTTTACCGAGCTATTGGTCACTCCTCTTTGTCTCTCATTTCTATCTGATGATACTTTTGAGAAGTGCCTTTTGACTTTCTATGTTAAAGGTACTGAGTAATTTGGGCACTTTTCAGGTGTGCTACACTTTGGTACTGCAACACTATCAATTTCCTCACCAAATCAGTTTTACCCCATTCTGTTCTTGGAAACATCCCAGCTTCAACCGCTCCACCAATCACATCTAATGCAATATTTAAGTTCAACAAGCAATATAATTTAACCACGTACAAATGGCCCTGAGCGCTCTTTTTGGGAAGATTTCAGGAATGTTTGATAGTTGTGCAACATCAATAAGTGTTCCCTCCCAGATTGTTGTCTACATCATGAAGGCTCTGTCTTTGAGATATAGAGAAGAGGTATCCAAAGGAAGAGGTGTTTAATCCTGCATTGATTAACACTTTGAAGAGGAACTGGATCCTTGCCTCATTTGGAATGAAAATTGAAAATTGCAAAAATAGTAATATAAAGGTGATACAAAGGGAGAACAGATCTTGGCAGAAGGATTTGCAAGTAAAGAGAAATGAAGCCATGTTTGCAGTAATTTTTGTTTGGACAATGGAAGGGCCAGAATTGTTCACTTGAAATGTTCTTCTTTTAAGCTTGCTTATGCATACAGAATGTGCTTTTAGTGTAATTAAGTATTATATAAAAACTGCTGTATACTACTTGGCTGTGAAAAGTAATTTCTTTTGGAAAGTAGCACTTCTAACCACTTAAACATACATAGAATGTCCAAGATAATTGACAAAACTGATACTTCAGGGTTGGATGTTTGTGGAGCTGAGGCAAGATCCACCAGAAGGTGACAGAAAAGAAGTGTCATGCATGTCACAGTGATTTGTTGCAAAGATTTGTTTTTAAAAAACTCAACTGCTGTTTTACTGCTTTTCAGTTTTTTGACACCGTTACTGGCTGATGGACTGGATCAGTGTCTGTTCTGTAAAATAGTATGGGGACCGAGGGACTGATACCTCAGTGCAGTACTTAAGGAATTCTGTAACATGAAGGGCTGTATTTGAACTGAAACATTAGCTCAAGGTCTCGCCTCCCCATCCAGTGGGTAGGAAAGGTCTCACACCACTTTTGCAAAGAAGAGGGGGAAGTTCTCCAAAGTGCCCTGGCCAGTAATCATCCCTGAACTGATTATCTGGTCATTACTACATTGATGTCCTTGGGCATTTTGCTCTGCAAATTGGCTGCGATGGTTCCTGTATTATAACAGTGACTCCACTTAAAGTACTTCATTTGCTGTGATGTTGTGAAAGGCATGATCTAAATGCAAACTCTTTCTATCTACCATTTTGGGGGAAAAATACTCTCAACTGTGCGATGGATAGATGGGTTGTGGTAGAAAATGGATTCTTTCTGGATTAGAGTAAAATGAGTTAAATGGCCTTCCTTAACTGTGCTGATTTTCTAAATGGTGCAACAACTGAAGACCCAGTTTTTTTTAAATATACACCACAATCTCTAATGTGAACACAATCAAGTTGGGAAGATACAGAATGTGAAGAAGTATAAGCTAGGGAAAGCTATTTTAGGGACATTTAACATGTGCTTGAGGGGTGGCAACAGCAGGGTGCATAGGAGAAAATGAGCAGGTTTACTGAAATTTACCCTAAATTTGGCTCCTTTATCCTGGCACCAAAGTCAGAAATCAGCTTTCTGTGAAACCATACACGCTTGAATGAAGTGTTGGTGTATGAAAAGCGAGAAGAAATAGTACAGATTTTAAATTGAGAGTACTGAACCATCTTGGAGAAGTTAACTTGATTGAGCATACAAGCATGAAAAAGGTGAAGATACAGTTTACAATTGTGATTAACAAACTCTATACCTGTACTGACGATTCAATTTCTTAACAATACCCGAGTTGATAACTCCTCATAGTCTGTTCCCTCTGATCATGCTATCTTCAATCACTTTTCAAACAAAAAAATACATTTAAACAGGATGTTAGATGACTACAATCTTTAATGAGGTCAATATTTATTAGAAGTTACAGAACCAACGGGCTTTTTCTTCAATTGGGGAAAAAAGATCTATTATTTTGTCCCACGTTTTCCTCAGTGTGAAGGTTATTAAACCAAAATAACCGGCAATTAGCTGTATGTCCAAATAAAGGTAATTTCTGTATTAATTTTTTTTACAGTTTTGGTATTGGCTAATACCACGTTGTCCAACTGCTTTGTTTTAGGTCTGGCAATGCGGTGGGCAGTTGGAAATCATTCCCTGCTCAGTGGTGGGCCACGTGTTCCGTACCAAGAGCCCTCACAGCTTCCCAAAAGGTGTGCAAGTAATTGCCCGCAACCAAGTGCGGCTGGCTGAAGTCTGGATGGATCAGTACAAGGAGCTGTTTTACAGGCGAAATCAGCAAGCAGCGAAGATGGCACAGGAGGTGAGTGATACAACTGCAATTTTGTTTAAAACCATAAATTGTAATCATTTTAACTTCTCCCCCACCAAATAACGCAAGTGCTTGGTTAACAAAGGTTTCTGTGAGCAAGACCTTGTGCCCTATGTTCCAGTTTCTTTCCTAGAATCCTCAGTGTATCCCTAGGAGTTAATCAGCCTCATTTGCAACTTATTGAAATTGATATGGTTTTGCATTACACTACTAGACACCTTTTCCAAATATTAAACACAGGCGAACACTGACAACTACATATTATATATTTACTATCAATAAAGAAAACAAAGTCCAACAAACACTTACTATATTAACATAAACTGGTGAAAGTCCATATGCATTTTATTATCCTTTTTGTCAAAGTAACTAAGGAAACAGCTGTATCTGAAGATTGACATGGCAAGTCCTGAGGAAAATCTAATTTAACAAGGGACAATTTCAGTGGCATCCAACAAAACCATAAAGCAGAGTAAGAAACATTTCTTTGCTTTTTTTTCAGAATTTTGTAGTCAAACTGTTTGAGGACTTTGTTCACGTGAAAGATGTAATTCAACATATGTTCAAATATACAATGGCAGGGCAGTTACATGTGGGGATGGATGGGGTTTACATTATGTAGGAAGAAAGATGTTTTTGACTGAAGATTGCAACACCAGTTTACATCCTCCTGATCAATTGATGGAACAATTATAGAATCAAAATAATCATCTTTAATTACAAATGCAATTATAAAGTCTACATTGTTGTAATGTTTTTCTGTTCTGTCACACACTCATCCATCTTTCACCTCCTTACCCTCCCACCACTGTTTATCTGTTGAGCTCATCAACTAAGCTTGTCATTCTTGCCATGACAGACCATCTGACTTGATGCACTTCCAGTGCATCATGAGTGGCATATGTTCCATGCAATACACCAAGGTAACCACTATGTGAGAGTAGAATTTAGCAAGATCAGAGTATTATGATCAGAATATAGCGTGAAGTGAGTTGAATAAAAATCTAGTTGGAATTTCAACATTCAAATTTTCTCTTAAAGAAGCATGGCAACTCTCTCAGAAAATGGCTGACCACAGTCCTGATTTAAGCGTGTGAAATGTTTTTGTTCTTTTTCTCTCTTCACCAAGCACACCATCTCAAAACAAGCCAACAAAACCCATCTTCCAGAGGTAACTATGTTCAACTGCCAATTACCCTGCAACTCCTGTCTACCCCTGGGAAATTTCCTTTTTGTCTTTTAAGTTAATTTTAACTGAGACGTTTTGCCCACTCTCAAACGAAGCAGAATCAATCGCTGACTCGGTTCAATATACAGAGTCACAGTGATACAGCATAGAAACAGATCCTTCAATCCAACTCATCCATGCCGATCAGATGACCTAAACAAATCTAGTCCCAATTGCCAGCATTTGGTCTATATCCCTCTAAACCCTTCCTATCCAATATACCCATTCCAGATGCCTTTTAAATGTTGTAATTGTACCAGCCTCCACCACCACCTCTGGCAGCTTATTCCGTATATGTACCACCTTCTGTGAAAAGTTGCCCCTCGGGTCCCTTTTAAATCTTTCCCCTTTCACCTTCAACCTATGCCCTCTAGTTTTGGACTTGACTATTCGTGCTATCCATGCTCCTCACGATTTTAAAAACCTCCATAAGATCACCCCTCGGCATCCGACGCTACAGAGTAAAAAGCCCCAGCCTATTCAGCCTCTCTCTATAGCTCAAGCCCTCCAATCCCGGCAACATCCTTGTAAATCTTTTATGAACCCTTTCAAGTTTAATAACATCTTCCCTACAGCAAGGAGGCCAGAACTGAATGTAGTATTCTAAAAGTGGCCTTACCAATGTCCTGTACAGCTACAATATGACGTCGCAACTCCTATAGTCAATGCACTGCAATAAAGGCAAGCGTGCCAAACACCACCTTCATCACCCTGTCTACCTGTGACTC